TTTGATGATATAATTAATTATGTCGTATATTTCTCCACATTTTATGATATGTATTTTTATAATCAAACATATGTTTTCATCCAAATTTTTCTCAAATATAAATTATAATTTTCAAAAAATACTCTAAAATATATAACTAATATTAAATCTGTTTGCATATGTTAAATTTCGAGTTTCATTGTCCATTTTTTATGGTAACAAAATTAAGGTAACTAAAATTAAATGTATTTCCATGAATTATAGTATTTATTTATTTTTTTATTTATTTTTTTGCTGTCTTTTAGTGTGTTTGGCTTTAGGTTTGCAATCACATAATTTCTAATATATTTTTTTCAGGTTTGTTTGGCAACAAAGACTAAAAATGATCCCCAATTAATAGTATAGATATATATTTGTCGCCTATAATGTAAAACACGTTACCTATCATCATCAAACTTTCACCTAATAATTTTGGTTGATGACTTAACGAACATGGTACACCGTTTAATGGGCTTTAGAGCTTGCACGGTTGAGGCCCAATAAAGCCTTCGTTCTTCCAAGTTTCCTAATGGGGGGGGGGGGGGGGGGAAATTGAGAAGGAGAAAATAGAGTCCGGGAAAATAAAAAAGAGTTCTACAGAGATTCGATTTACTCAATGGTGAACGATGACGACGACGGTGAGAAATCAAGAAGCGTTCACCGAAATAATGCTGATAAACCCAAAACCCAGATCGTAATTGGTGTGCCATCGTATCAGGAAGTTTTGGAAAGCTCACAGACCAAGTCCACGCCTCCTTCCCTTTTTAAACCTTCCCAAACTTTCTCTCAAGCATTCGCTTTCGTCAAATCGTCCGACGTTTACTCTCCTCCTCCTCCTCCGCCTCCTCCTTCCTCATCTTCTCAGCCGCCGGGCGCTTCTCAGGTGCCCAGTTCAAGGTGTTTTATATAGATGTGTGTGTGTGTGAATTGCTTTGGAATTAGATATATCTGTTTGATTTCGAGGCTTTCCAAATTTTAGATTAGTTTGAATGTTTGATGAAAATTAATGGTGCCGTCAATCAGATTACGTATACGGCTGATTTTGACGATTGCATACTGAAACTTCCATGTGTGTTTTTGGTGTATGTTGCTTTGGTTGTAGCGAAACGTTTCAAACGGATGGAGCGTCATCTTCTTCTACACCTGTAACTACTGGCTCTTTACCATCAAACGCAACTCAAACTCGTAACGCAATTCTCGTTAGCAACAGACAGGTGAGGAGACTTTATGATTCAACTTTCTATTTTCTTTGGAACACATCTGACTTCTCTATTTTGTCTGACTCTCATCTTTTTGCAGAAAGGAAACCCGCTTCTTAAACATATCAGGAATGTCAAATGGGTTTTCTCAGATATCATTCCGGACTACGTGCTTGGTCAAAGCTCTTGCGCTTTGTATTTAAGGTGAAACTCTCCAACTTTCAATGTTATCCCATTCTAAGATCACACACTCACGCTACAAACATCTGATCCACTGCAGCTTGCGGTATCATCTGCTGCATCCGGACTATCTCTATTTCCGCATTAGGGAACTACAAAAGAATTTCAAGCTCCGTGTTGTTCTTTGTCATGTCGACGTGGTAAGTGACAACATCATATTTTGATGCTAAATCTTTCGGAAGTGAAATTGCTATATTTTATATTTTCTGTAGCATTACATCAGATGTTTCTGTTAATGTCTTATGATACTTATGCACAGGAAGATACAGTGAAACCGTTGCTTGAAGTCACGAAAACCGCGCTACTTCATGATTGCACTTTATTGTGCGCCTGGAGGTGTCTATCTATATATCAATCACAGTTCTTCGCAGCTAATATGAAAGTACATTTCAATCACTCTGCTTCTCGTGAATATAACTTTCTGTGTGGAATCTCTTGCAGCATGACGGAGTGTGC